CTGACCCTGCTGCTTCAGTGGCCTGTCACCCGTTTCCATGTCTGGCTGCCTCGCCAATCCTGCACCAGTCGGCCAATTCTACTTAGACTTCAGAAACCGATTTTTTCTCCTGGAAGAGTGCTCCACTGACTACCCCTCTCAGTTTTGGCCTCCAAAAAGCGGTACACATAAACAACTAGCTTCACTCCAGCATCCACAGCTCGATGTACCCTGTACGCAAGTATCTCGACATAGGTATGGACCATCATGATGTCGCTGCCGTTCGGGATACCCAAACTCAATCGGCGGTGGCACACTCGGTGACGCCGATGACCTCAAAGACTTTCCAATCATCAGCTGGACTACGACAGGGATGAGGTGGCTGAGTGTTGAGCGGACGCGTGTATCCTGCACTGTCTGACCGATCCACTTCGTTTATACGTATACGAGGTAGCTTTCATTGTTCCTGTGAGAATTCAAGCCCCGTAGCTTGCGAGTGGGCGAGACAAGGCAATCGAGCTACAAACAGGATTGCTATGCCCAGCTGAAGTCCCACTCCCCATCGGGATGAACACACACCATTGAAACTTATGCATCAGGCCATGTCTTCGGCAGTGATTGTTATTCTTCTTGCGCAGTATTCATTCCAAAGTGATTAAGCTGCACAATGATCGGGCGCGGCTTGTTCCTTGCCAACTTCTATGGCGATAAATGAAGGCTTTCGCATAGTATCATCCTGTCAACCTCGTGGACCGGATTGTTTACCTGTCAGCCGGATTTGAATACCGATTCGATGACATGACACGTCGACATCTATCCCCAAATGGTCTTCTGCGGATCAGTTTGCGAATATAGTATTTGCGTGTCGGAAAGGGCCGCCCCATCCAGCCGTGTCGGGCACGGCGCCATCCACCAAGGACCTATGAGGGCTGCAGATGAGGCTTGGAGCTGACGAGTCCTCGACGGATTGACCGCACTGGAGAAAGTAAAGATAACCGGGGAGGAGGAGCATCAGTAAGGCAGCGCCAAATAGAAGGAGAGATCGAATTCTCACCAGCAGCGGCTCGACCCGCTAGTCGGCTCCAACCGCTAGCGGATCTGGCTTCTGGGCGCTTCGATCCGAAAAGCCCCCCATCCCACTACACCTTTTCCTCGCTACTGGCTCATGATCGCTCTCATGGCCTCAAAAGCGGTCCGAACTATATCCCTTGAGGGTCATGAAATCGTATCGTGTTGGGAGGCTAGCAAGAATACAATTTGAAGGCCTCCGATGTCGCCGCCGTGGTATAAACTCGGCATCCCTTTCTATGGGCTCTTGCATGATTTGCCTCCCATACTACCATTCCATTCTTCTTTCCTTCTTGAACCGTTCCTCCTTCCTTCCTGAACCGTTCTTCCTTTCCCCCTAAACATCCTTTAAATCCCTTGCTAACCCCACTTTAATGGGTAGCGGGATACAGAATCTTTCTAGAAAAGATGGGCGAACTCCAGCACTATCCGGCCGATACACCCAACGTGCCCTTCGCACAACGCCCGATCATCATTCTGGGTGCGGGAATTATTGGCTGTGCCGCAGCGCGACAGCTTCTACAGGACGGCTTTCCAGTCATCCTGGTCGCGGAGTATCTACCTGGTGATCAAGATTTTCGCTATGCATCCGCTTGGGCTGGAGCGGCATGGCATCCAGCGGGCGGGATCTGTTCGGAATGGCGACATCTTCAAGCCATCAGTCATCGCCACATGCTGAAAATGGCACAAGATGAACCCGAATCTGGAGTCAGCATTGTCGATGCCCTGGAGTATGTCGAACGGCCCCCCGCTGAAAACTCGTCGGCATGGGGAAGGACTCTGGCTGCCAAGGTAAGACAGCTCACATAAACAGTAATAGACACGGCCCGGGGGTTGACACAAGACCTAGTGGCGTGACTTACAACCGGGTGAATATCCATCAGAATTCAGCTGTGGATGGTCGTACGAGACTCTCGTCACCGATCCCACCATCCACATGCCGTATCTGGGCAAGAGGATCACTGCTCTGGGCGGCCAGTTCATTCGCAAGCGGGTAGAGGCTCTTGAAGACCTCTATCACATGTTCCCCGAGTCAAGTATATTCATCAACGCTAGCGGAATCGGAAGTCAGACCCTCAAGGACGTCCAAGATGACCAGTGCTTCCCGGAACGGGGGCAGAACGTGTTCTACAAGACGGAAAACTGTCGCACAATGTACTTCCGGAACGGCCAAGAATACACCTACGTGATCCCTCGACCCATGTCACATGGTGTCATCTTGGGAGGCGTCAAACAAGCTGACAATCTGTAAGGCCTGATCAGGAGCACCTAAGCAGCTACACCTTTGGGGACAACGAATATTAACTCTATAACAGATCCTCCGAGCCAGACATGGAAATCGCCCGAGATGAGATCGCACGCGCACACCGTCTTGCGCCCGAAATCGTTCCCGAGAACCCACCCGAAGACACCCTCAGCTACATCGTCGGCATCCGGCCCTCGAGGAAGGGTGGCTTCCGCTTAGACTCAGAGCAGCACGAAAACCGGTACATCCTCTCAGCCTATGGATTCGGCGGAGGCGGCTATGCCTTTTCGTACGGAGTCGCCGATGCACTGTGCAAGATGGTGGAAAAGGTGGAGCGAGAGAATGTGATCTAATCTGATCTGATCTTTGTTTAGTATCGAGGGTGCTGATATATTCATGGGAAGAATGCTGGCCATTCGGCCCTGTGGATGTGACGTTGACGTTGACGTTGACATTTAGTAGATACATTAATTAGCATTGAGCAGTGTCATCGCAGCACCCCAAACACTATTATTAATACAACGCATTAGTTAGAGTACTCACGACCTAAAGCGAGGAGTTGTCATTAACATGCAGAACTAGCTAAACAAGTATTCAACCAGCCATAGTACCAACCCCCATATCTGCCTCAGGCAACAATACACACATACATCTCGTACCCGTACCGAAATAACAAATCCTAACAAAACACCCCTCCTTCAACGCTTACAAATCTATCGCCTTGCCAAGCAGATCAGTGAATCTGCGTCTTCTGATTGGAGAATGGTTCTCCACGATCCAGGGAATCAGTAATTAAGGGTGTCAGCAGGGTGCATTAGCGTCTGCCTTGCGCCTTGGTTCTCCGGACGGTGGAGATCGTATCTCCGGCGGGGAGGATGGCATAGGAGTTGGTGGTGTAGAGAGTGATGATGTAAGTATGCGTTGTTGTTAGATTGAGTGCTTATTTTTATATTTATGCTTATGCTTATTATATGTATGTGTGTGCATACGTATGTATCTATATACTATATGTTGTGCTACACCAGGTGCTGTAGGGGAATACTAGATAGGTTTAGGATCATCACTGCACTCATGCATATGTACTCACTCACAGTTGGACAGTATAGGAAAGGAAGGGAAGATCATAACCCATTATATGCAATCTACTTACACTCATCACATCACCACTATTAAGCAGCGAAGCAGCACCCTACAAATACCTAATAATCATCTTCTCCCCCCTCTTCTGCCTCCACCGATTCGTACTCTTCAACAACTCCGGACACCCCCTCAACACCCACGGCCACTTTCTCAAAAACTGCTCCGTGACCTCCCAATTCGCCGGATCCGACGGCTCCCCCCACACCAACAAACTACACGTATCGGACGCATTATCCCAGAACCCCATAACATCATGACAAAGCTCATCATCATCGAACCGATCAATCATAAGACACAGATTATCCCGGAGACGCGGCAACGGGAAGAAATCTAACCACGGGTGATGCGGCACCTGCATTTGGATCTTTGTCGGACGGAGACTCACAGGCAGTCGCTTTTCCTGGATTGCCTCGGGCGGGAGGGTGTTGAAGAGGGAGAGGGCATCGTCGTCGTCACACCAGGTGGTGCAATTGCCGAAGCCGAGGACCGTCATGTTGGTCATGAAGGCGCGGAAGACATTCAGTTTGCTGAGTGTGAGGAGGTGGTCCGCGGACGGGGAGCCGCGGAAGTAGCTCTCGTAGGCGACCCGTGCGAAGTGCTCGAATATTCGCCGGATGTTTTCCGGTTTGGAGGCTTCGCTGGTTAGGGTGCGGCGGGTGATGAGGGTTTGGGAGGAGGATGGAGTGGAAGAGGAGGAGGAGGATGATGATGGGGGGCTGGTTTGCTCATGCTTGGTGTTGGGGTCTAGTGCTGGTGGTGGGTGCGGTTGTGAGGAGGATGACCGTGTGACCAGGGCATTGTTGCTGTTGCGTTCGGCTTGTTTTCGTTTCCCTGTGGTTGTTTAGGTTAGATGGGATTGTTTGTGGAGGGTATGTGGTGGGTGTATCTCACGGTATGCTCGCTGGTTCAGCCGGTTCTGTCGTCGCCGGCGTTCCTGGCGGTCGCAGAGACCAGCCCAGTCATCTTCAGGGTCCACTTGAGCGGCGGCGGTTGAAGCAGCAGCAGCAGCAGCAGCAGCGGGGGTCACCACGGGGAGTGGCGGTGGTGAGGAAGACCGCGTGGCTTTCTCCGTGCTGATGTCTTGACTAGTCGGCGACCGTAGCAAGTCCGATCCCATGTGAGAGTGTATGAATTGAATGGATTCTTGTACTGAGAGGCGAGAGATGATGATAGTGACGATGGGGGGAGATGATCGGAGAGGGAATGCCGCTATAACGGAGTAGGAAAGGCAAGTCGAGATTCCATGAAAAGAGCAGGTCCGCCGGTGCTTTTAAAGTCCAGCGCTGCGACAGTTTTGAATGGGATTCGAGGACACTAACCCGAAGGGTAGTAGTGGTTGCTCATCATACATCTGGTATGGTTCGGTAAATACGAGTGATAGGATACGCGTTAGGAGAACATCTATAAGTTGGTAAGAAGTACGTTCATTCTGTGTCGCTAATAACCTAATTAGAAAGTTGTTGTGGAAGAGCTATCTTCAGCAGGCAATAGAGGATACCTATACTGTACATATTGATTAGAATACAAACAAGCCACCCAAACGCTAATTATACTGAACAAAATAAAGCTAAGGGCTTCGAGACCCTGTCTCGTCTCCCTTGATGACTCGCTCCAGATGTGCTCGCTCTCCACTGTGCTCCACCAGATTTCGAAACACACCTCCTTCGATGTCGAGTAACTCCTGCGGTGTGCCAAACTCCACGGCCTTTCCGGCGTCCATCACGAGGATTCGATCAAAATCCGCAACTGTGCTGAGACGGTGCGCAATGACAAGGAGCGAGGTAGCATTGCGTCCAAACTCTTCCCGAATGGACCGCTGAATCAAAGTTTCAGTCTCCATATCCACTGCGGAGGTGGCCTCATCCAGGATCATGATCCTCGGTTGGGAGACTATGGCCCGCGCTAGGCAAAGTAGTTGCCGTTGGCCTTGGGAGAGATTGAGCCCTCCCTGAGAGACGACTGATGACAGTGACGCGAAAAAGTTGCTTGTTTTGACTGGCTCTGTGCCCGAGTTGGCGGATGACGGCAGTGTACCGCTGTCGCTCAGTGGCTCGCTACTCGAATGCGACGCCAGGGTCAGTGTATCCTCGAACGAGACCAGATGTACGCGTTCTAGCGCGTTGTAGAGTTCCACATCACTATACTCGTTGAATGGATCCAGATTAGACCGCAGCGTTCCCGAAAAGAGCACTGGGTCTTGTGGAATGATGGCAAGACGGCTGCGTAAAGCTTCGAGCTTGATTTGCGAGATATCCAGCCCATCAATGAGTATGCGCCCTTGTCGGGCCTCGAGGAAGCGGAACAATGCCAGGGTTAGCGATGATTTTCCGGCCCCGGTACGTCCAACAACGCCCACTCGCTGGTTGTTCTCCATAGTGAAGCTTAGCCCATCAATCACAGGAGGCAGGTCTGGGGCGTAGCCCACAACCAGATTCTCAACTTCCACCTTTCCACGCGTGGGCCATGCCGCTGGCGGGTTATGCCCCCCTTGCTCCTCGAGGTCAATGTTGCAATACTCCAACACCCGCTCAGTAGCGTTCATGTCTGTTTCCACATTTGCATAGAAGCGCAGGCCCATCGACACGGCATAATTGTATTGTAGCGCAAATGTCATAGCGAAACCTGCCAGTGCCGGAGTGATGCTGGGAACGTACACTACCAGAGCTGCTGTCATCCCGGCCAGCACGGCTCCCGCAATACTCATCCGAAATGATAGCCATCGGTCTAAAAGCCAGAGGTACCACGCCGCCTGAGCGTGACGATCGATGCGATCGTACATATCTTTCATATAGATCTCTGCTTTGTTGAAAGCTCGAATCGTGGTCAGACCGGAGAGACTGGACCCAAATCGTTCCAGGACAGGACTTTTAGCGGTACTTTCGAGTCGTTTAATCTGACGCATTCCTGTGAGGTAAATCTTGGAGAGTCTAAAGCACAGGACCAGGAGGATACAGGCGAGCACCAGCAGTATCGGGGATACCAACACTCCTGCTGCTAGTATACTAGTCAGCTCCAGAGCTTTGAACACGAAGTGTCCAATGTCATAACCGAGCCTCCAGTCAAGAATGTACATGTCAGATGTGAATCGATTGAGGATCCGGCCGAGGGGCACCGTATCTAGCCACCGCAGCGGTGAGCGCAATACAGCTGCCAATAGGTCATCAAAGAGTCGCTGGGAAGACTCCAGAGACGCAAGGGCAAGGGCCAAAGTCCTCAGAGTTCCAATGATACATGCGGCTACCGAAAAGCATACATATATGCTGAGATAGAACATGGAGTCCTTGTCGACAAAACGTCTGTTGACATCCATTGTTTGAGATTGGATGGCACCGTTCGGATGGGTCGGTTGGGATGAGGATGTGGACGAGTCTGTCCAAACACTTATCCACCAAGACTAATAAACGGTCAATTGTGGTCCGTAACTGGAAGGATATGGACACTTACTCTTCCGACTAAAAGCGCCATAAATGCGACATAAGCCAAAAACGTTATCATCCACCAGCGTAGGCATTTCCCCTTGGTCATATATGTTGTGTACACTTGCAGGGACACGGCTCCTTTCTCGCGCCTCTCGTCTTCCGTGAACTTCCTTGGAGGCTCGGCGACACTTGTTGCTACTGAGAAGCCTGACTCGGTAGATACGCGCTTCATCGGTGTTATCGGTGTCACAGGTTCGTCGTCTACCACATCAGCATTGCGACCATTTGATGACTTGGCAGATTCGCCCAACAAGTCTATCAGATTCTGAGTGGCTGCCAGTTCATCTACTGTCCCAGCATGAATCGTAAGTCCGTCCGATAGGATAACACAGTAGTTAGTCCGAGACAGACACAAGCCAAGATGATGCGTGACCAGGATCCTGGTCCTGCCATGGCCTAGCTTGCCGATAAGGGCATGCTCATACACGTGGCGCCCAGTCTCAGCGTCAAGCGCACTGAATATATCATCCATAACTAGAATTCCGGCACGGGAATACAGAGCACGCGCAAATGAAATGCGCCAGCGCTGACCACCACTCAAATTGATTCCGTTTGCACCAATATCCGTCCGATCGGCATCTGGAAACATTGCGATGTCTTTTTTCAACCCTGTGGCGTGAATGACTTTGCGGTAACGATAGCGATCGTACGGAAGACCAAAAAGGATATTGTCCTTGATGGTGGCGTTCTCCAACCACGGGTTCTGAGCAACATATGCGATGGCCGAGTCAATAATCCAGTTGTGGCGAGTGGCTCGCTGATCATATCTCCTGCTTATGGAGGGAGCATGGGGTACTGCCACGGTCCCAGATAAGACATCACACTCCCCTAAGATCGAGGCTAAAAGTAAGCTTTTCCCAGAGCCAGTCTTTCCGGATATTACACTGAGACCCTTGGGAGGGAATTGCAAGGTGAGGTCTCGGAGCAGAAAGCGCTGGTCGAACTCTGCCCCTTCTTCGCCAGGCCAGGCGATGGTCGCATTGTGAAAGGAAATCTTGTCGACAGCAGAGGTATGGGGGGACTTTTCAGACGAGTCCAGATATTGTTCGATGCGATCCGCGCTAATCTTGGCCTCCATTCCCTTCGAAAGTAAATCAGGCAAGCTTGCCATGGCTGATTCTAAGGAGCCGAATATGGAAAGAGTCGTAAACGCAACGGAAGCGGAAAGCTCGCCACGAGTTAGAGTATATACTGTCAATGAGACGGCAGACAGCATTAGAGGTCCCATAATCCACACCGACACCATGCCAATAGTATACAGTGAGGTTTGCCAGAGGAGCCCTAATTCAACGCGGCGCTTTTCGCTAATGCGATCCTGCCATTGCTGCTCCAATGCTGCAAATTTGATTTGGCGGATCCCATGAAGAACCTCTCCTACAGCTCCCATTCGTTTATCGCTTGCCTTCATGTATTCTTCTTGTGCCGTGGAGTAGTTCTTCGTCAAATAGGCGTTCATAGGGGCCACAAGAAGAGCAGTTGCGACACCGGCCAACAAACTCGGCCATCCTATGAGATTGACTAAGAAGACACCTCCTATAAGCAGTCGGATGACAGATGAGGGAATCAAGTAGTTGAACATGACGAAATCTGCAATGCGTTTGGAGTCCACTGAAGCAAGATTGATAGGGCTTTGGCTGACGACATCCTGTTGCGGCTCGTCTGCATCGTGGTCATCCCCTTCCTTTTCCTCTAACGATACAAGCTGCTTGACATCCTTACACCTCATTGACTTAGCGAACACGAGTGCTGAAAGTCCTTCGTAAATCGGGATCCAAAGCTTTGCATATATGATCCACCAAAGCCACGATTCGATGCTGGATGAGATGATGAGTACGGTTCCCAGCCCAAACACCCAGGCCCATGCCTCATTAACGTCCTTTGGGCTCTCGTCAGGGTTGGAATGGCGGTTCTCGAGCGATTTCAATATTCCGTACATCGCTGCTTGTGGGCCGAAACTTAACACACAGATAATCATGCTAAGTGATGACTGGAGGATGAGTGACTTTTGGTGTGCCACCACGAGGGCCCGCCAGAGTGCCCGTGAACCACGCGTACGATCAAGATGTGCATGAAGAGTCTCCGAGCGTGTATCAAACGGCATCTTGGGGAGATCATCGATCTCCAGACCTTCATTGGCGACCGCATGGTCCAAGAGATCGTTGACCCAGCTGAATGTGAACCGTTCCATAGCACTCACAGTTCGCTCTCGGTCGACAATCTGGCCATCATGGTACACGTTCGGGCGGCGGGGAAGTAGAAGACAGAGTGTAGCCCGAAATAAGGATATTCCGAATTGACTTATTGCTAATCCCACCGACACGGCATCTAGGCGATACCCAGTATTCCAGACCAAGCCAATCTCTAAGCAGGGGGTTATGGCGGCGAGTATGCTAGCCCCGAATCCATATACTCCAAGCATGTACCGCTTGGTAGGTGCCGGCTCAATGAAGAAGCCAATTGTTTGTACGGATAGAACTCCCTATATTCGGGTTTTCCGTTAGAGTTAGTTAGAGTCATAACAAATATTTAGCTGTCGGACTCACCCAGCTCCCCATCTGCAGGCAAAAGGGAACAATCAAGACATGTTGGCCCTTTGTTATGGACAGGATGGCTTGTGCCAGCGATATCCCAAGCCCAGTGAATGATAGAATGGCTATCCCTAGTCTCTGCCAAAGATCCGAAAAGCCTTTCAACGCCTCATCACTGGCCTCCCCGTCCTTATCCTCATAGCCAGGTCTGTCAAAAACATGTCCTCCGGGCAGTTGAATTGGGGGCCTTTCTTTGACATGCAAGAATCGCCGGATTATGCGGAGTAGTGCAGGAACAGTACAGCTTGAAATGAGTAGAATGCCTAGAGCGCCTATAGCAATAGACGCCATGCCCTGGTTTGATGCCATCCTACATGGAGGCAGAACCACATTCGTTGCTGTAGGCTGGAGGGTTGATAGTGTCGAGATTAGTTGAAAATGTTAGAGATCTAATTGAACAGTAATTTTGAGAGGTGTTTTGCTCCCACGCGTAGCTGTAAAGCTTGCATTCCACCTGCATTCTTATTGCGTGCCTTGCATCAAGGGGGAGCGGACAAGATCGCGTACCGACACCACGGGTGAATAAAGACACAGAAAGGCAGCCCCTACTTATAGTAAGCCTAATGACTGTATTCTCCATAGGCTGGTGTGGCATTATTGCGGCAACGATACGGATTTAATTGCAATAATCAGTAGTATCCCGGTGTACAGTGTAACAGTCCACCCATCCATCTGACCACAGTGAGGATGGGTCTGTCATTCTCTGACCGATATCGCATGATTGCTAAAAGCTTTGGTGTGACCTTTGCATAGACAAGAAGCGGAAACGCAAAGACGGGGATACCTCGATAAAGGCCGCTGTGTTGAAGGTGAAGCACAAACAATCAGCTCTGTATAGATGAACCGCCCAATTCGGTAAGGTGCACGAGGTACTTGGCGGAGTGGCCGCATTGGCTTACAAGATGGCATGAGATTCTGCCGCCATTACGGGCGGTCAACAGGGCGGTAAATATTTATACAGATTCAGACTCATTGTTCCGGGGGTTGTTGAAAATTATATCCCCCTATATCCGTCTATTTCCGCAATTTTCTCAGCGAGGTCGACGAGGTTCTGCCGCTTTTAGCGGTGAGATAAGCGGTAATGATGAGCAGTAAACTATGGCACCCGGGGCAAACATTAGTGCAGCTTCGGGATCGGCAAAACCAGAAAGCGACCGCGCTAGTCCAGCTTAGGGTAGCTCTTTGGAGGTCAGCAAGTCACGGAGAGAACCCGCTATTATTCAGCGGGGCCGAGATGCTGATTTGCTGACAATCCATGGCCGTACATTGGGCGGCGCGGAGTCGCTGACCAACTCCGGCCCCGACTTCGCTGCGGAGGACCCCGGCCCATTTTTGCTACTTGGAGTCACTTTCCTCGGTCGGCTCTACTTAATCTCTTCCCCTTGTTGTGGTCAAGGGTTTTGAAGGTCTCTGTGTCTGTTTGAACGCATTCACCCCGCTGCTGCACCCTTCTCTGTCACACTGTCCCGCGATCCACGCGCACCAGGACGGCAATGCTTCTTTCCCAAACCCGGGGGCGTATGCCCTCCGCTCTCCGGAGCATCGCCAAGCGCTCTTTGCTGAACAGGTATGGATAACGGCCTAGAACATGACTTGTGTCCTCCAATTGCTTCAGAATACAGGCTGATATTATTGTCATTCACTCAGTCGCCCTCTGTCCACCACTCTGCCGAAGCAACAGAACGGTAACGATGACGAGTTTACTGGCCTCAACAAGGTCTCCCGCCACATTACCCAGCCCATCTCCCAGGGTGCTTCCCAGGCCATGCTGTATGCCGCTGGCCTCACTGAGGCGGACATGAACAAGGCTCAAGTCGGTATTTCGTCTGTCTGGTACAATGGAAACCCCTGCAACATGCATCTGCTCGATCTCAACAACCGTGTCCGCGAGGGTGTCCAGAAGGCTGGTTTGGTCGGATTCCAGTTCAACACTGTCGGTGTCAGTGATGCTATCAGTATGGGTACCAAGGGAATGCGCTTCTCTCTCCAGAGTCGTGATCTGATCGCCGATTCTATTGAGACCGTTATGGGTGGTCAATGGTATGACGCTAACATCAGCATTCCCGGCTGTGACAAGAACATGCCTGGTGTGTTGATGGCGATGGGACGTGTGAACCGCCCCAGTTTGATGGTCTACGGTGGTACCATCAAGCCTGGTTGCGCCTCCATGCAGGGTAACGCCGACATTGATATCGTGTCCGCCTTCCAGGCCTATGGTCAGTTCATCAGCAAGGAAATCACCGAGCCCCAGAGATTTGACATTATCCGCAACGCCTGCCCTGGAGGTGGTGCCTGCGGTGGTATGTACACTGCCAACACCATGGCCACTGCTATCGAAGTCATGGGCATGACCCTTCCTGGATCCTCTTCCAACCCCGCCGAGTCTGACGCTAAGTACCTTGAATGTCTTGCGGCTGGTGAGGCCATCAAGACTCTGCTCAAGGAGGACATTCGTCCTTCGGATATTCTGACTCGCCAGGCTTTCGAGAACGCCATGGTTTTGGTCAACATCACCGGTGGCTCCACCAACGCCGTTCTTCACTTGATTGCCATTGCGGACTCTGTTGGTATCAAGCTGGATATTGAGGACTTCCAGTCCGTTTCGGATCGCATTCCTTTCTTGGCGGACCTCAAGCCTTCCGGCAAGTACGTCATGGCTGACCTGCACAAGATCGGTGGTACTCCCTCTCTGCTCAAGTTCTTGCTGAAGGAAGGTCTCATCGATGGCTCTGGCATGACTGTCACCGGTCAGACCCTGGCTAAGAACTTGGAGAATGTGCCGGACTTCCCTGAGGATCAGAAGATCATCCGTCCCCTGTCCAACCCCATCAAGGAAACTGGCCACATCCAGATCTTGAGGGGTTCTTTGGCCCCTGGTGGCAGTGTCGGCAAGATCACTGGTAAGGAAGGAACCGTCTTCACTGGAAAGGCTCGCGTCTTTGATGATGAGGATGATTTCATTGCTGCTCTCGAGCGCAACGAGATCAAGAAGGAGGAGAAGACCGTCGTTGTCATCCGCTACACTGGTCCTAAGGGAGGACCTGGCATGCCCGGTAAGTTGCTACAGCAAATGCTCTCCTTTCCACTGCGCACGTGTACCAGTAAAGCTAACGAATTGCGACGAGTAGAAATGCTGAAGCCCTCTTCCGCCCTGATGGGTGCCGGCCTCGGACAGTCCTGCGCCCTGATCACCGATGGCCGTTTCTCCGGTGGTTCTCACGGTTTCTTGATCGGACACATTGTTCCTGAAGCCGCCGTCGGTGGCCCCATTGGTCTGGTCAAGGATGGTGATGTTATCACTATTGATGCCGTGAAGCGTGTTTTGGATCTTGATGTTGAGGAGACCGTCCTCGCGCAAAGAAGAAAGGAGTGGGAAGCCGACAAGGCTGCTGGCAAGCTCCCTCCCACCGGCCTGACCCTCAGAGGTACTCTCGGCAAGTACGCTAGGTACGTATCACACACTTTCAACTGGCATCACATATATCTATACGATGCATATCTATGGCTCATGTCTGGACACGCTGCTAACGTTACCCAATAGAACCGTCAAGGATGCCAGCCACGGCTGTATCACCGACTCTCTCGAGTAATCGGGATGGCATATATGATCATATGTCCTTCTTTGCGTCCATATATTTCTTCGAAAGTAACTTGTGTCTTATATCAATCTCTTTTTCCTTTTTCAGCTACTCTATCTGGGATGATTTTGGGTCGTTTTGAGTCTGGGACCGCACGTGGCTACTGTTTTGTATAGGCGAATTGAAACGAACCAAAAGTGCTGCTTGTTATGACCTCACTATATGGTCTCGTGTATTTACAGAAGATCAAATACAGCAAATAATATTGTTAAGAAATCATCTATTCTACCTGGGAAGCGAGGTCGTTTACTCCGCACCCCATATCCGTTCCACGGGTCGCATCTGGATGCACGTGGGCCGTACGTCACATGACTGTCGCTTAGTGTTTGCAAAGTTTGTAAATTTTTCTTATCGGCTTCTACCATCTATCGAGGGGCGTCTCGTTCCTACTTGGCTCAAACCTTACTTCGTCGGACTCACATCTTTCCAGGCCCCTGCTGGAGTATATCTTAATCATGGCTCCTGCTCCGATCGCATCTTCGAGCGATGATATCGCGACTGTTCTCCAACTAGTTACGCCGCCTCAGATTGCCCCGCACCGCTCCCACGACCCCTCCAACAATCAAAAGCGGAGTGATCCCTTCCAGTTCGGCTCCCGGTACCTCGAAGAAGGAGACGATGTCTTCGAGTTCAACGCCTGGGACCATGTCGAGCCCGACGACGAGTTCAAAGCGTTCGCGGAAGTCCAATATTCGAAGCAGCGCGAAACCCCGGTTTCGGATTTCGACAGAAACCGTTTCAATGCCGACCCTGCCAAGTGGTGGAACCTTTTTTACAAGAACAACACAGCCAACTTCTTCAAGAACCGAAAATGGCTCCGCCAGGAGTTCCCTGTCCTTGCGGATGTGACTCAGTCTACAGCAGGAAAGAAGGTGGTGCTGGAGGTCGGTGCAGGTGCCGGAAATACTGCCTTCCCATTGTTGGAAAACAACGAGAACGAGGAGCTCATGGTCCATGCTTGTGATTTCTCCAAGACCGCTGTCAAGGTCATGCGCGAGAGCCCACACTACAACACTAAGCATATGACAGCTGATGTGTGGGATGTCACGGCGGAGCCGGATGAGAACAGCAATGGACTTCCTCCTGGCCTTACTGAGGAGTCGGTCGATGTCGTCGTTCTCATCTTTATCTTTTCTGCCTTGGCCCCAGAGCAGTGGAACCAGGCTCTTCGTAATGTGTACCGCGTCTTGAAACCCGGCGGACATGTTCTGTTCCGCGATTACGGACGGGGCGACTTGGCACAGGTTCGCTTCAAGAAGAACCGATACATGGGCGAGAACTTCTACGTTCGTGGTGATGGAACACGGGTGTACTTCTTTGATCGCGACGAGCTTGAGAAGATGTGGGGCCAATGGACTCCGGAGAAGGGCTTGCCCACGGCACTTGCGACAGGAGAGGAAATTGAGGTCAAGGATGAACAGAGCCTTACTGACATCAAGGGTGTCTTTGACATCGAGAAGCTAGGTGTCGATTACCGGTTGATCGTTAACCGTCAGCGCAAGCTGAAGATGTACCGCTGCTGGATTCAGGGCCACTTCCTCAAGCGCGATACCACTCCCGCCGTCGATGCTTCGAATAACGAATCGTGATTTCCTTTGATTCTTCCTCAAAAGCTTAGCCATGGCTCTGGGGCGTGGTGGAAATTGCAGGATGATCACTCATAGTGGCGTCGGCATGAACAAGCTACTGTTGTCTAGACCACATGCAAACAGCCAGCTTCTTTCCATGTCACACATCTATTACATGAGGATTCGGAGACTTCCTTTCGTTTGGAAGATGCCAAACCCATTCGACGCTCGAACGAACTCTCGAAAATCACATGGAACGGAGGCTTAGGGCAGTTGGTCACGCGCACAACCAGTTCGTTGCGGCATCTAGTTGATATTCTAATCGACTTTTCGTGAAAGATATGACTGTCATTCGGCGCCAGTGCTCACTTTCTCAATGAACGCAAAAGTGAGTTTCTGATCCTCGATGGAGGATCTGATGATACCCATGACGATAGATAGACTAGACTAGAACTCATTTGGTTACATTCTTGGGGCGACTTTCACATGGATCAATTGATCGCATTAATTTCCCGTCTCATTCATTGGGCGGATGTCGGGAGCCTTGTTCTACCCTAAGTATCACAAGCTCAAGTAGAATGACCCTATCGACATTCCCGACAGCTCATGGTACGTAGGTGAGCATTATTCTTGCCCCCTCATAGTCTTAAGAAACAGACTCAGTGTGGTATCTTATTATAATCTCTGAGAAAAACTCCATAAGGCGATGTCTGACCCAACGAGACCCATGCATAGTCCGGTATGAGCAGGAACCGCAAGTCGAAAGCTCCTTGAAGTGAAACAAGGGAGATCTGGCCATACTCAGAGACTCAGAACACCAAGGGATCAAACAAACCCCGAGCGGATGTTTTCAGCGGCCACGCGGACATGCCACAGAAGCGGAAGGGGTCTTGTGTCGTTTGGTATGTGAGATTCCTCATTCCTGCACTCGTCACCCTCCCATCTGCAACAAAGCCACATAGACAGCTACTGCCGACCCATGTTTCGGATCAGCTCAGTCTTAATTTGCCTTCATGGCTGACAAGTTATCTATTTGTTTATGTCTGACAATGAGATCAGGCATTCGGTCATGTTATATCCTTCAACAACGCCCCTTTGGCAGGTGATACGGTCTGCTGAAGACCTCAGCGCATCAAACCACCATAACCGCAGCTTCAGCAGTCGTCGATCCTGTCCTATTCCGTCGTTCATCTGCCTTACCTATTGCATCTGAAAGCCCTGTTCGGTGTCTTGCGCCTATCAGGGAAAACGTGCGCACTGCACCCACTCTTTCCCGCTGGAGTTTGGGAAATCTGGACGGTCCCAGGCACATCGGTGCCAGGGCAAAACCTTGATAAAAATAACTTGTTCGATCTTGGGTCCGACGGCCAATTGTATACGCACTGGAGACTCTTGATGATTCGGTCCGTGACGTACGTGCACCTCCACACTCCAACGGTGGATTATGTGTCCCCGTGGGCACGCGGAGATCGGGGGCGTTGGTCGAGAAACTTGCCTAATCTAGTGACAAGCAGGAAAGTAAGAGCTATCCGCATGCGACTTGCAGATCTTCCAGAGGGATATAATAAAGTCGTGCATCTATGACCTTGCAGGACACGACCCGCCCCCTCCTGCCTTCTATATTATCGATACCCTCTGCCACTAGCGTCGTACATCACTCTTCACAATTCATTCTGCTCTCATTCATCATGAAGTTCACAAACTATCTTTTGACAACTGCATCACTCGCAAGCAGTGTCCTAGCGGTTCCAGCTCCCCGCACCGGCTTGGAGGACAGACTCCGTACGCGGTCATTGCAGCGCCAGTCACATCCTCTTGCACCACTTCCACTTGACACATCCACCAAAGAGGAGTCCAGACTCCTCGTATCCGACGAAAATACCACCCATGTTACATACAGCAGTAATTGGGCGGGCGCAGTGCGCGAGCAACCACCTCCGCAAGGCACGTATTCTGCCGTGTCGGCAACCTTTCGCGTACCAGAACCCACGGCGCAAGGGGGGAGTGGAACGCAGGCTGGATCGGCCTGGGTCGGGATAGATGGCGACACATACAGCAACGCCATTCTCCAAACAGGAGTCGACTTCTATGTGGAAAACGGGCAGACGTACAACGATGCCTGGTATGAGTGGTATCCAGACTATGCATACGACTTCGACCTGGATGTGAGCACAGGTGACACCATTGTCGCCAAGGTGGAAGCCATCTCGCCAAGTCAAGGCGTAGCCACAATTGAGAACATATCAACAGGGAAGAAGGCCACGCAGACGATCAAAGCCCCAGCTGCGACAGCCACACTTGCCGGCCAGAATGCCGACTGGATCGTGGAGGATTTCCAGTCTGGCGACTCAATGGTCGATCTGGCTGGCTTCGGCGAGATTAGCTTCTGGGGCGTGCAAGCACAAGGGGGAGGGTCTACATGGGGTGTAGATGATGCGACTATTGTCGAGCTGAAGCAGGGCGACCAGGTGTTGACGGACGTGGAAGTGCAAAGTGACTCGGCCTTCACCGTGTCATATACGAGCTGATGTGACGGTATATGATTGCATTTTCTCATTCTTCGATCATTTTTCTCCATTTTGGCCGGTGACATAATTTCTGTGGTTAATTTTGAAGACGCCTTGATGTATTTCGGTAATACTTAGCTTAAGGTTGATACATCCAGCATGCGGGCTCGGCTATTGGGAGGAACCAAGAAGGCTATATGGCCCTCGGGTATTTGCCGCATTCTATGATCGCATGCCTTTTCGGCTTTCCTTATATATATCTACTTTCCACTTCCCCAAACCAACTCATTTTCAATGCGAGAATCTATCCATACACACAATTAACCATGTCCCGTATATACCAACTAAGTCGCGCCCTTCAACACAGCCGAATTGGCGCTCTCCGGCCGGGCTCCTCCCTACTACCCGCCCGGCCCTCCCGCCGCTGCGGCTTCAGCACCAGCGCCGCACGCCCATTAATGGAACTAACAGGCTTCACCGAAGAGCAACTAACAGTGCGCGACGCCGTATCCGCCATCTGCTCCAAATTCCCCAACACATACTGGCAAGAATGCGACCAGAACGAGCGCGACCCAAAAGAGTTCCACGCCGCCCTAGCCCGAGACGGATGGTTAGGGATCGCGCTGCCTGAGGAACTAGGAGGCGCAGGTCTAGGTAGGCCAATCCCCCCTCCCCCCAACATTTGCCACTCTTCACAGCACAGTGTTGTATAACTAACATCACAATCAGGAATCTCCGAAGCAACAATGATGATGCAAACCATCACGCAATCCGGCGCCGGCATGGCCGGCGCACAAGCCATCCACGCCAACGTATACGCAACACAACCACTCGCCCGGTTCGGCACGCGCGAGCAACTAGAAGAAACCATCCCCAAGATCATCGACGGCACATGGCGCACATGCTTCGGCGTCACGGAGCCCAACACGGGCCTCGAAACGCTCAAGCTGAAGACCCTAGCCACCAAGAAGTCCTCCGAGGATGGTAGTAGCATCTACTCCGTCTCAGGGCAAAAGATCTGGATTACCTGCGCACAAGTGGCCAGTAAAATGATCCTGTTAGCGCGCACGACCCCGCTGGAAGAAGTAACCAAGTCCACGCAGGGTCTATCGATGTTCTGCATCGACCTTGACCGCACAAAGTCCGGACTGGATATGCGCAAGATCAAGAAGATGGGCGGACGGGCTGTCGATGCTAACGAGGTGTTCTTTGATGGGTACGAAGTACCCGCGAACACGCTCATCGGGCAGGAAAACGATGGATTCCGGATTATTCTGCATGGGATGAACGCGGAGCGGTGTTTGCTTGCTGGTGAGGCATTGGGGTTGGGGTATGCGGCGCTGGAGCGAGCAGCGGATTATGCGAAGGAGAGGGTGGTGTTTGGACGGCCGATTGGGCAGAATCAGGGCATTGCGCATCCGTTGGCGGATGCGTATATGAGGTTGGAGGCGGCCAAGTTGGCGACGTATCATGCTGCGAGGCTGTATGATGCGTCGAAGAAGGATGAGACGATTCCGTTGCATTCGGTGGGAGTGGCGTGTAATAGTGCGAAGTATTTGGCTGCTGAGGCGGCGTTCACGGCGTGTGAGAGGGCGGTGCTGAGCCATGGGGGTATGGGGTATGCGATGGAGTATGATGTGGAGAGGTATTTGAGGGAGTGTTTGGTGCCCAGGATTGCGCCGGTGAGTAGGGAGATGATTTTGAATTATGTTAGTGAGAAGGTGTTGCAGCTGCCGAGGAGTTACTAGGGTGGGAGGTTAGGTTCTCGGATATCAGGAAAATATATCTTGAATCCCATGCTAGCGTCTTACATCCACAAACTTCATGACTTTATTCCCCGTACCGCTCTTCTCGAACCCACCTATATCTTCAACAAAGGTCAATTTAAACAAATGCCGATTATCCGGTAAAACAAAGAAGAACGTCTCCACTTCATAGACAAACTGCTCAAGAGAGATCATATCGTTACTCGTACTCGCCGCAGCACGAAGCATCCTAATCTCCATTGTTGTCTGTGGCGAAGAACCAAGCGTCCCTACAATAATCTGCCACTGCAGAATCCCAAATGCCCCCTTCTGCATGAACATCTCAATATTCGTAAACTCAAAATACTCACCATACCACTTAAAGCTAAACCGACGGTCACGACCCCGTAGTCGGAGCACGCGGAAGTATTCCAGCTCAGATTCCGGGACAATTGACCTTGCAATATTCGGCACTGGATGGATGGATCCAATATCCCCGGTGATATAGCGCACCAGCGGGTTCCGTCGACGCTGCAACGACGTTTGCACAATAACACCCTCTTCACCCTCCAGAAGGGGCTTCAAGTCAGAGGAGGGCGTATCACCTTCCATGACGGAACGAGGGAAAATCTCAATCAGGATGCTGCGGGTATCGAACACAAAATCCATAGACCCATCATATTGACATGATGATGCTTCCCCAGTACTAGTAAGACCTGGATTATGGATCGCGTATGGCCCGGCCTCTGCGCTTCCCAGGATGGAGTATATCTTTACTGCCGGACCCAATGTGGCATGAATATATCTTTTCTGACTGTCGGTAAGTGGCTCGGATGTGTAGATCACTTTTGTTAACTTAATCCCATTTCGCTTGTCTGCTGAGAGAGTCGAGATATGATGAATGACTTGAATGACTTGGCTGCTATCTCCAGTCAACACATTGACGTTGTATCGCGCCAGTGCGCGCACGACTTCGCTGGGTTTCATCAGGTTGCCCGCGCTCAATATGGTTCCTCCTGCGTTTTCTAGGATCTCGGTTAGGAGGTCGAGTGATCTGCGCATGATTTGTAAAAGTCAATTTTGGCTATGCCATTGAATTGTCTTCGAACCTGGAAAAGTAACCAACCTATACAAATACCCCGAGGTATGCGTCGTCAGAATCCAATCATGCGACTCGACAACTCCACACGTGCGCAGAAACTCGCCAAACGCTGCGCGATGCTGACGATTTTCTTTCACATCTGTGAAGAACATCAACAGCATGTCTCCGGAACCGCCGCCGGTGACACTGACGTAGGAGCTACGCCGGTATTCATTTTCGGGGTTCGTGTCCTTGGTTAATCGCTCGATAACTTTGTAACTGGTAGGAAGGTCATGAGTATATTACTCAATCGGAGGAGAGGTTTTAACAGATGGTAAGACTTACAGGTCTTTCTTGGTAGTCAGGGGCCATGATTCAAGGGTGCTACTAGTAGTAGATTGTGCCTGCACAATAGCCTGGATTTCCTCAGGCCCGGGTGGGTATAATATATTAGGGTTGTAGAGCGGATGGATTTTCGCAACTGCGAGAACTTCATCCAGAGAAAATGGTTTGGTACTCATGAGGAGGAAATGAAATATTCACAAAGGAAGTTCGTAATGCTAACGAATGAAGGAAAGGTGGTTTGTTATACCCTCACGTTGCAGCCACCCATGGGTATAGACGAACGCCGTTCAGAGCCCCATGCTACTTAATACGTGGTCTGCTAATCGCGTTAAGTCATGTTTTGCTTTTTCGAGATGAAATGCTCTGCTGGGAATCGAATGAATACTCGAAAACCGAAATGTGCTAACCGTGGCGTTCCATATCGAGTAATTTGCGTAATTATGCTCATTTTCCTCCGAAACTACAATTGTAATAATGAGAGAGGCACTTCCCTGGACGTGCTGCATCTGCTGCAAGTGAGTAGTACGTAAGATCGGGTTTACGAGATCCAGGTAGGGGGTTGCGTTATGTTGCAACATGGGAATTCGTATCCTCTGCATTTGAATTGGTTACTACTAAAGCATTATGAACTGAACTGCTTACTATAGGTACCCCGTATAACCTCATTTTCTCAATAAGCAAGCAGTCTGAATCCCTCACTCCCTCGACCCCAGTTCAAAAGTAAACTGCTTCGACGCAGGTGATACCCTCCAGCGTGCAAAGAGCTGCGCATTCTCCACCAGAATGCGCCGCAGCATCTTTCTCCTCTCTTCTACACCAGGCCAAACGCCCCGCCATTCGCGTACATACGGTTCCATGATCTCCGAGGCTTCTCTGACCCACCCCCCTGCCCTCTCCTGTCAATCAATCCCTCCTGCACCATCCGCCTTCCCAGCTCGCCCAAGAATCGCTCCCTCTCCTGCCTATCTTTCACCGTAGCATGCATGACCGCTAGTAGTATATGCGACCGGATTGACAAGTCCAACTCATCGATATCAATTCCTTGGAGCCCTAATCCAAGTGTTTCCTCCACTGCAACAGCGGCTAGAAACTCTACCTCCTCCTCACTCCCAACCTCACCCTCCCACCCCCTCCACCACGCCTGCACTCCAATTCCTCCATCCGGCCACCCACACCATATCACCTGCTCCGACTGGCTATTTCCATCGGGACCCCCTCCCCCCGATATTTGTGCAAGATACTCTTTCTCCAGCCCATGTATATCATACATTCCCTGCGCGACCAATATCCCAAACCTGTCGGGTCCCTCCATTTGCCGGGGGGTTATCTCAGCCACGCGAGATGGTGGTGAAGTATCAGGAGTAAAATAGTCAAGCCAGAAGCGCGCATGTGATTCCGAATAGGATGGTGCGCTGGGGTAGGCCGTGTGCCGGCGTGTCATAGTTGCCTCCAGCGTGCTGAGGGCCAATGAAGTAAGAGTGGCAAACGGTAGAAAGGGCTGCCTACGGTGTGTGCACGCGACAGTGTAGGCCCAGCGAGGGAGTTGCAAAATGGGTATAGATGATGCCGGACTTTGACGCGGCTGACATAGTGGGGAGGAAGAGTCGGGAAGGTCCTGGAGGTCGGGCAGGCGGTAGAAGCGCGCTGTGGTGCGCTGGGTGATGAATGGGGTAGAGTAGTAGGAGCGCCATGCAGAGGAGTGCAGGAGGGCATGGTGGGCTGTGTAGAAAGCAGAGAAATTAGAGAAGGAGGGGAAGCCTTCTTCCAGTTGGGAGGAATAGCGGTAGATCGCTGCTGCTAGCTGTGCGAGGTAGAATATATCCAGGGAACTATTATATACAAGTTATCATGGATCCAGTGCTCTGGAGGGATTGCCGTAGTATGAAATAGATTACTTACCGATTGTAGCGTAAATCACCCTCACCAAAGGACAAGCCATGCGAGTGTAGCTTCTCCACAACATCGAACACCCCATTCCCGGTCCACAGTCCCTCGTGCAGATAGATGAATGCGATCCGCAAGACATCCTCATGACAGGTCACTGGCACGATGCCGCCTTCAACATTGGCCAGAAACTCTTCAGCGCTCATTGTAACGATTATGGCCCGTGCGTCAATAAAAAATTGGATGGTAAAAGGGGAAGAGAATATGGAAGTTCAGATCCGTCCCGCAGCCTTCCAAGATACGTTTGGAGTTTGGACCTCTTTCCCACTCAGGAAAAAGCTAATTTCCTTTCAAGGGCCTACCGACGTAATCCAAGCAGAATATACGATCTACATCTTCGTCACCAAGCCTTGTCCATAACTAAAAACTGCTCAACTGCTACAGGTATATGCTACTGAACTATGCTGCTATCATTTAATGAGGTAGGAAAAGGTCTCGCATCCCAACGAACCCTCCGCAAATGACGCTCCGGATCTCTGACATTACTCCGAGCATGAAGCCACCTATGATTATCCGTCAAGATTACAGACCCCCTGGGCAAACAATCCGACGTAAGTTGCAGCGTCTCTGCCTGTACCTTCTGTCCCAGCAAGCAATTCTTCAACTCCTGCAAAGCCAGCGCCGCCTCCGCAGTCAACGGGGTGACGATATCTTCGCGAAAACGAACCATACTAGGCAGCCCCTCAGCATCCGTAGCCATCAAACCGCCCACAACATGGCGTTTTGTATCACATTTCACAAACTCGGGTGGGACAGTAATACGATACTCGGGCCGGAGCAGGGCAGTGCAAGTTGACGTGGACAGCAGGGAACTCAGTCTGCCGACATTCATTACGGAGAGAGTACCACCTCCACATCGATCTTCCCGTAGGACCTGCAAGGCAAAGTACCGGGGTGGGGCTTCTTCATAGCTACAGTCAGTGTGCCAAGGGAACTCCTCCATTGTCTCGGATCGGGCCTGATGAGAAGGGGTTTGGAATGTCGTGCTGTTGGGTCGAATGTCCCAGAACCAGCCGCGGGTTGCACTGTGGGTTATAGGCAGTCCGTGGCCATGGTGTTTGTGGAGACCAATCATGAGCTGTTGGAGATAGTGGCTGGAATCATCCCCAAATTGCAGACTGACCTTGAGGATGCCGGTTTGCCGGAGGGTGTTCGATACATCTGTGATGTGGCTGGGATGACTTGCATGACGGAGATCGTTGGCTACCAGATGTGGCACAGTGCGTGATATCTCTGATTTTTATCGGGTGTGTCAGAAGGCCCTCCCCCTATCGTCGCTTGAACGTCAACTTACTAGCTGTATAGCCCAATGATTTATAAATAAACAGCTAGTATATTAGAACAGAAGTATTAGAATAAAAATATAAAACTAGTAATTTAAAAGAAAATCCTTATTTTATTTATTATATTTAATAATATAGAGAAAGTCTATATCTATAAATTTTATATAAAGAATTCCAAGACTGCTAAATATATAAGTTATAAGATCTTAATAAAGATATATAGAATATAATAACTAATTATTCAGGATACTATAAAAATATATTATTAAGTATAATAAGTTTCTTATATTATATTATTCTCTTCTAGTTTAATCAGTTCTCTATTTTAATTTAAATATTTTTATTAAAATACAGTAATAATACAAGATAAAATTACTCTTATATTTTCTTTCTAGTAATATTAATTATATTAATTAGATTTTAATTCTTTATAATTTTATTAATATTGTCAAGGCTACAGCGTGCATCTAGTATTCTGATATATAAATTATAAATGGGCTTGGTGCTCCTTATTGCTTGCTGCATTTTCGGAGAGATTGGGCTCAGCCTCAGACTCAATATACGACTTGACAGAGAGGTTCCTTAGAAACGAAAACAGACAATAAAGGGAAAAGGCAAGCAGGAGAAGGCTTCAGACTGTTCTGATGTGCAGAATGTCTCCGTACGTTGTCGCACCGAGCAAGAAACGCAGCTTGCTAATCTAAGTTATCTGATCAGTTAAGGCGAGAGACAAGAGCTACATGGGCTACATATAGAAGCCCCCATAAAAGACAATGCGAAATGAGGCAAAGAAAGGCTCAGCTGGAACTAAGCACCAGTTCGTATGTCTCCACATCCTGTCCTACTCTCGGTGCAAGCCTCCGGATACTCGTATGTTGTACTTGCTCTGCTGCATCTACGATTGGAAACTTACATCCAGTGGGATGCTTCTTGAGACCAAGACAATGTGGATTATGTCATTCATGTAATTCAGCAAATCCTTAACCTTTCAGTTGTTGAAAGCTGATGTCCAGATTTTCTACATCCCAGACCTAAAGCTTCTTGCCTATACCTAAATAGGACATTTGGCTTCGTGTCTGGATCACCGATCCTATTTATCACCCATTAAATGTACAAACCATGCAAGAACACATACCACCTAAGAGACTTCCTGTTTTATACAGGCAAAAAACATCTCTATTAACTAAGAGATTAGTCACTGTTAATGACGGAGCACGTCCACGCTCCTCCATGGCTGATAGCACAGATCTTTTGCGGACTACACCTCCACACTCCAACACCAAGAAACTCACCCTGGATCGAATGGTACGTCCCAACAAGGGGATATCGAGCCATTTCGCCCGTCGCTTCTAATACCACATCGTACCGAACTTGATTCACTCTGCGCTGGACAATGCACGTTCCAGGTCCCAGCATAGAGGAGCGCAAGTCCTCTAATCTTGACGCCCATTCCGCAGCGTCAAGGTCTTCGCCAAATACAATCCCTTCTCCTTTTCCACTTCGGACTGGCTTCAGGATATACCCATTCTTCAGCCCCGGATTCCTCTTGCAGTACTCAATGAAGCGTTCGAGCTCCAATGAGCCAGGAAGTAGCGTATCAGCAATGCCTTTGTTGAGAGTCTTGGCCTGTGCGGGTGTAATGGTGTTTCTTTCTACCAGTGAGTCGAGTTCCTGCCTGACGATTCCCAGCATCCGCTTGTCATGCACCAGCAGAATCGTGCGCATGTCATTGAAGCATCTGAGGCTGATTTGACGGAGCATCTCCGGACTCAGAGCGCGCAGTTCTCGCTGGTGCAGCTCAAGACCGACTTGATGGATCTCTTCCAGGGCCTCTCCGTTGTGATAGATCAGTGACAAAAAGCGCTCAGTTTCTTGAGATTCGGATTCCCTAACCACGCAGCAGAGTCTGTAACTATCCTTGTCTTCTGGGTCTGACACAAGCCTGAGATCAGTTGGCAGGACGAAGCGAGGGTTGATTTCAAAGCGTGTCCTGAGCAAATCCACAACCATGTGGATGTCAATCCCATGTTCATCACCTTTGAGAAGATGCAATGGCAGGTTGGGATCGAACAAACTCAGAATACCGCCAAGCATCTACTCAGGTTGTATTGTTAACTACTTCATGGTACCGCTCAATGACCAGTATCATGAAAAACACAACTTACCTTTGCGGGCTCCGTCGCACTGACCAAGCCATTACTTCCATCAGCAATACCCTGCTCCTTCAAAGCCTGTTGCCCGCAAGCTGCATACATCAATCCATTGAAAGAAAATCGAGCATTAATTTCACTGATTCGAAAGTTTTCTACAGAACCAGGTGCCCCTTCGCTGTCTTCTTCAACCAGGAAATCCGGTCTCCATGAGCCGCGGCACTTTCGGTACGGAGGTATCTTGCTTGGAACTTGACTATCAATCCACTAAGATATGTATCATTTAGTAATGTGGGTTCTTTCAAAGCACTATATGGGGGCATAGCATACACGAAGAAGGTCCTCCTCCACAGGATCCAGCGGCATACGTTCAGGAAATCTAGACACCGAATCCGTCCACCACCTCTCAACAATATCGGTTAAAGTAGAGACTTAAGCATTGTTAAGCTCTTTCCATTGGCGCTGGTGCTCTGAGGAGACAAGAATAGGCCGAGGAATGAAGGCTGATCTTGAGCTGTTGTTCCATGATTTATCAGTGGAGAATTGCAACAGGCTCTCCTGGATCGCCTCATCGTCTAGGTCGTATGCCGCATTTCGAGAGTCGAGGGAACTAATAGGCTCGTATCCTCCTCCACTGAGGGGGATATGGACTTGTTGAAGGCGTGCTGGGGCTGGCGGCTACATTGTGCTCGGATATAGGTAAATGTATATTCAGAGGTCAAAGTGGACAATTACTTCTTTTTCAGTGAGATGAGGTTTATTATTCAATAGTAGTAGAAATCCTTGTATTGCCTCAGCTACTAATACCCTATGAACGTGCATGTAATAGAATCATATCGATTACCAGGATATGCCTGCAGCTGAAGGGCTCTCCTATCCCTTCCACACCGCGCTCCACCAGTTGGGCAGCACAAACGAGAAATCCATCAATCTCAGCCGATCGTAGTCAGAGTCTCTTACTTCTAGCTACTACACTAATTCTTGCAGCTACAGCGGAATCTCGAGGTTCATGACGCAGGCAAATTCCCCACTACCAGGCTCATACCATTAGTACCTAGCCAAAGAAAGTAAAGTGGTAATTATCGAGAGTAAGAAGCTCAGAGATTCATGGTACAGCTAGTCATGATACAATTCCATTATCCCCCGTATACTAGTTATGTGCCGGGATCAGGGCTGCATCACAGTAGCACAGAATACGGGGCAGCAATGATTGCTATTAGCTGAATATGAACATTACTGTATGTATCTGGGTGATAGACTAAGAATTACGTATTCGAAACTTTCTATTAATATGTACTCCGGGAGAATTATTGTGTATACGTCTTTGACTATGCCATGGTTGTGATTTCGACGGCTTAAAGGTTATGAGCTATCATTTCCGGACAGACACGCCGAGCTACGATTTGAGTCAAGCACAGCGGGCGGCCAGCAGGCATGTCGGATCAGGAATATGGAACTGTGTATGTTGTTTGCATTGTTAATTCTACAGTCGGCTAACATATAATTTCTCACTGGGTAAGATACTGCCATGCATGCATGTTCCAGGGCATAAATTCAGAAGTGGAAACTCCAGGCCTCCATTAAACTGAAGTAATTAGCATATTTACAACGCCCGCGAACTAGCTACGCATGCAATCTATGTCAACTGCTAGTTTCCGCCTGGACTGAATCTTGTAAGACTCTACCGTCCTGTCTCTCCGATCCAACAACCTCCGCAGGTGAGTCGTCGGAGCTTTTTTGAGAATGTAACACTTGCTTATAGACCGGCTGTTCTTCCTCCTTCAAACCACACCCGGACGGGTCTCTTCGGATGAGGAAGTGTTGGACCCTTGCATCTACCGACTGCATCTGATGCTGAGTGTTCTCCCTGCGCCCTTTCAAAAGGCGGGATGACTCTTGGTTCAGCTCCCAAAGCCGGTCTTCGTAACCGCTGCTGAGCTTGCTAATCCAAGATGCCTGGAGCGCTCCGCCCATTAATGTCAGAAGTATAACGAATGTTGCAAAGGTCCGATGGTCCACCAGAGTCTGCTGTTTTCCCTGGTGACGATTATTCCACCTTTCCCAGTCTTCCCAGGTCGCGTTCGCGTATATTGGACCGTAGTTACTGGAGCCCGTTCTAGCCCAGGATGGGATCGGCGTTTCATACGGATGGAGGTTCCACCCCGCGCCACTGAAATCGTAGGCTGCCCGTCTACTCGGATCAGACAGAATTTCATGCGCAGCCACTAGGATGTGGTAGCGCTGGAGTCTCACTTCGGGTGTGAGGTCTCTGCATAGTGGATGTCCGCTACATGGGCGATCCGGATGGTAAATTTTGACCATTTCATAATAGCGGGTCTTGGAATAGGGTGCGGTCCGATCTTGTTTAAATAGCTCATAGGGGGTGAAAGTGGGAGAAGACGGCCATGAGAGATCCGTGTCTGGGTTGTGAGAAGCGGTGGCATAGCGCCTAGTGGAATAGCGAGACTGTGAGGGGAAAGCGCGAGACCGAGGTGGCGAGGACAGGCATGGGTGGTTCAGTAACTGCAGTCCACCACCACAGCAAAGGATGTTGGGTTTCTTGAGCATGGCCGCATGGTTTCACATGGAGAGATATGTAAGACCTCTCCGGAATGTTTTAGACCGATGGCAAAGTAGAAAGCACCGGGGCTTGAACGGGATTGTCTGGTTGTCGATACAAATAATCCCGCTAATTCCGAAGTTCGGATCTCCACATGAGGTCATCACGTGCGGGTCTCCGAAGCTCCAAAGCTTCCCGCATGAAAACTACCTCCATCCCCGTCGTCGACGCTGTATATAATTCCGCTGTATAGAAAATGCCTGATTCACGCGACGATCACGGCCGGAGACGGCATCGATCCCCCTCCGGCTCACCAGCTCCTGACCGCGATCGACGACAGCGACGCCGTGACGACCGTGGTAGCGATTCGGGACATCGCGAATCTCATCGAAGCTCCCGGAGAGACAGCTCGCGACGGAGGTCATCCCGCAGCCCGGCCGACCGACGAAGCCACAGAAGAGATTATGATCGTCACCGCAGTGAGCGCAGGGATAAGGAGGATGTCTCAGACGATGACCGGAGAAGACGCCGACATGCTTCCGACCGAGAATCTTCATACCGTCGTCACCGTGACCGAGATTCTTACGACAGAAAGGAGAAGTCTTCTCGCAGACGACGTGACTACTCGCGATCCCGCTCGCCCACAAGACGCTCGCCAGACTCGGACTCGCGCGCGCCAGTACGATCAAAAGCGCCCCTGCCTCCGCAGCAGGATGCATATACCTCGTCTGAAGTAGTTCGGACTGGAGAGTCGGAAGGCCCTCCTCCCGAGAAGGAAAAACCCAATTTCGGTCAAACTGGGCGATTGGCTGCAGAGAGCAAGACTGTGAATGTCAATGGTAACTCTGTCGTTCTCAAGTATCACGAGCCCCCGGAAGCGCGCAAACCCCCAGCAAAGGAACCGTGGCGACTTTACGTGTTCAAAGGGCAAGACCTCCTTGAAATGGTGGAATTGGGCATACGCAGTTGTTGGTTGATTGGGAAAGAACAATTGGTAGTGGATTTCCCTCTAGAGCATCCGAGTTGCTCTAAACAGCATGCCGCGCTGCAGTTTCGCTTTGTCGAAAAGCGGAATGAATTCGGAGATCGGATTGGACGTGTCAAGCCTTATCTGATCGATTTGGAAAGCGCCAATGGTACTACAGTGAACGGAGACGCGATTCCCGCTGGCCGGTACGTGGAACTGCGGGACAAGGATGTGGTCAAGTTTGGCCTTAGTACCCGGGAATACGTCCTCATGCTACCTCCGCCTGAATAGGCATGATACTCGATAGACATTATTCCGTATTGGTCTCTTAATGCAATGGGTGCCTTGGAGAATCATCAAATCTTCAACATTGGCTTCGAGACCCGTGTCCGGAAACATAACTCGTGGGTATACATCCCGTTCGGTCACTTCGTTTGGCGTGCTTGTTAAAGCCCCTGGCAGTTCGTGCCACCCAATTCCAGTCTTTCTGAGTCATATGATGAAGTTCCAAGCTGTTCGTGAAAGCAGGCTTTTTCATCTAATTGATTGGTTCCTATGGAGTCGCTTGAGGTGTCATCATCATCCAATGCATTCGCTCCATCCACCAACTTAAAGCCCTTCTTATGTCCAGCTGAACGATGGCGCAACGTCTGTTAATTGGGAAGCAAGCCAGCTGCTACGGAAATGACAAATATACCCCCGGCGCGCTTGTTCGTCAAATGCTCGCATTGCCATAGGCCCAAATCAATGCTTGTGGAACGATGCCTTTCAGTCTGGAACTTTCCTGTGTGGATATTTATTGAGATACCATCGAATAACCTTGGGGAAAGGACATGCTCAGGAGTCAGGGAGATATAGACAGCGAAGTCAAACAGAGAGAATATTTGGAGAATTTGCAAATGCCTCATGACAAGCAAGGATATTCCGCACTTACTAGGATTTACTGGCTAGTTTTAGTTATAAGTGGTCATACTAGGCATGATCTTAGTTATTGGTATCCATTGAGTAAGTTATGAATAGTCACGTACTACTAGTAAGTATCAGTATTAGTTGTAGTAGAGATTGAGACCACTCGCCAATGGAGTACAAGTGGTAATGACCAGTTTATATAACCAGCGTGATACTGTTTTTCATCTATGATCCAACTTGTATACTACTATGTGACGTCCGCTATTAACAAGGACTTCTCATTAAATCCCTCATCATGAACTTTTATACACAGTGACTTAGATTTAAACGCAAACTAACTATCCTATACAACTGTCGCTGGGCCATGTACTCGCCCCTGCTCTTCTCCGCATACTTCCCTACCAGCCGGGCTAGACCACACCCGGTTAGGCTGATAGGCGGCGGGCGGTCACCGTTCTGCCGGATGATCATCGTGCCTCATTATCAATCTGATCACCCACACTCCGCTTGCTAGTCATCTCCAAGTCTGGCTGGTCCGTTGATTCTCACAGATTTTCGGCTCATTTCATCTGGGGACCAAACTGTGATAAGATAATCTTATAATGGCTGTCAACGGATCTGTCGAGTCCCAGTGGCTTGCCCAGCTGGCAGCCATGCGCCAGGCCATTGCGGACTTGAAGCTTCCCCAAGACCCCGCCAAAGATACAAGCTACGGAAGCGACCTGGACTTAGATTTCGACGAGGACTATTCATCGCCCGGAACTGCCGATGATGATATCTGGGACATTATCAGCTCTGACGAAGAGGCCAGCGACGACTTCGACGACTATGACGAGCTCCCCTCTCCTCCGACATCATCCGGCTACGACCAGCTCTGGCTTGAGCAGAAGTGCGTGAGCCTTGCTGCTAACAAGTCGGGTATGGATGCCG